GGGCAAATACTTCTTGAAAATCAATACCGGGTTGTTGCACGTAACCTTTAGCAACCAACCTTGCCTTGTATTTATTAATGGTGCCATCTGCATTTTTCTTCAATTTGAACACCCACTTGAGTCCAATTGGCTTCACCCCCATAGGCTTGTTTACAAGAGTCCAAGTATTATTCTTGTTTATCGAAGTGATTTCCGCATCCATGGCCTTGACCCATTCTGGTTCTTTTTTCGCTTCTCCAACCGATACCGGCTCGTCATTGGTTGTTAGAATGAGTTCTTCGAGATTATCAAGATCAAGCTCATAATCTTGAAATCGTCTTGGAGGTACTCTTGCTCTCAAGGGTCTTTGACTTGCAGCTCCTTGTTGAACATTATTATTTACCAGACTTGGTTGTTCATTATCTTGTACTTCTGCTCCGTCTCCAATCTCATGATCCAATTCAATTGGATCATTGTTTACATCGTTTCCTTAGTTGTTGTTCGCATCTTCTCTTGGATAGTCCATGGTATTATGAATGAGCCCGGTTCTTCATTGTTGGTTCCTGCTTTTTTAATCCAATCCCACCCTTTGGTTTCGTCAAAAATAACGTCTTGACTCACGATTATTTTTTGTGTTACCGGGTTAAACAACCGATAAGCTTTCGTACCCGGTTCGGAACCAACATGCACTAGTGGTCTTGATCTTGCATCCAACCTCTTTAGATTAACCGGTTCAAATTTTGCATGTGCTAGACACCCAAATATTCGAACATTTTCTAAATTCGGTTTTCTTTTATATAACTTTTCGTATGGAGTTGTATCCCCAAGGACTCTTGTGTAAACACGATTGATTAGATATGTAGAGTGATTTACCGCTTATCCCCATAAGTAGTTTGGAACATGCATTATTGCCTTCATTATACTTCGTGTCATGTCCATTAGTGTTCGGTTTCTTCATTCCACAATTCCGTTTTGTTGTGGAGAGTATGGGGTGGTAACGTGGCGTTTGACTCCTTTTTTATCACAAAAAGAATTAAACTCGAGAGAAGTAAACTCACCTCCTCGATCACTTCTAAACACTTTCAAAGGCTTTCCAATTTCATTCTCCATCAAAGCTTTGAATTTTTTGAAGTGTGTAAATGCCTCACTCTTTTCTTTTATGAGATAAATCCACATAAATCGTGAAAAATCATCAATTAGTGTAAAAATATACCCATTTTGACCCTTGGTTGTCGGCGTGATCGGACCGCATAAATCACCGTGAACAAGTTCCAATGGTTGTTTTGCTTTGTATGTCGTCATAGTCGGGAATGACTTTCTTGTTTGCTTGCCCACTAAGCATGATTCACATAATTGATTATCATTATCAAATTGAGGTAACCCTTTGACTAAACCCTTCTTGGACATCTTTTTCATTGACTCGAAATTGATGTGTCCAAGTCTTGCATGCCATCGCCATGCGTCTTCACTTAGTCTCGAATGAAGGCAAATAGGAACTCCAATTTGTAATCTTATTTTATAAAGACGGTTTGGAGTTCTTTGTACTTTCATTAATAAGCAATTATCGGCATCGTGCATGGTCAAATAGTTATCTTTCATTCGAATATCACACCCGGCTTCGGTTGCTTGTCCAAGACTAATAATATTGTTCTTGAGATCCGGTATGTAGTAAATCTCCGTCATCAGCCTTTGTTGACCCCTTTTGCCTTGGAAAAGTATAGCACCTTTTCCCTTGATTTTTACACACGAATTATCTCTGAATTTAACCTTCCCGATTATACCTTCATCAAGCTCGGAGAAAAATGACCGGTTTCCCGTCATGTGATTGTTCTCCCCATTATCCAAATACCACACATCGTTGTCTTGTGAGTCATATCGAGACGGTATCACCTTCTCTTCATTCAAAAACACGGTCTCGTGTAAAAATACGGCCTCGTCGGTATCGTCATATTCGGCAAAATTACTTTCTTGTAATTTTTTAATTCGATCCAGGCATTGAGAAGCAAAGTGGCCCGGATTATCGCACCGGTAACAAATAATTTTGGATCGGTCCTTTTTATTCTTATTTTTCTGGTTTGGGTTATTAATGGACTGGTTGTGGTTGTTGGATTGTTTATTGGGTTGATTACCTTGAGAAGCCTAGTTAGTCTCTTTGGGCCCGCCTGATCTAGACAACCCACTGGATCCGGATCCACTTGATCCATTAGACCCGTGAGTGTTATTCCCAGTCGCACCATAAGACTGCATCGCCTTCCCCTTTCTTCTCCAATTCTGACTCCCACTTCCACCGTCGGCGAACAGCACCTTTGATCCTTCATCACCGTCATTCGCTTCCTTTACCCTCTCTTCGTACGCTTTCAACCGCCCGACGATGTCCTCAAACCCGACTGTCTTCAAATCGAGAACTTGCTCAAGTGACGCCACGATATGAAGAAACTTTCTTGGTGTGGATTTTAGCAGCTTCTTCACCATCTTTGATTCTTCGATGGTTTCTCCCGGTGATGCCGATTGAGAGGCGATTCCTGACAATTTCCCGGCGAAGGAATCGATTGATTCTTTCTCTGACATCATCAATCTGTCGAACTCGGAATTTAGGGTTCGAAGTCGGGCTTCTTTCACCCGATCGGCGCCAACGTGCCTCGATTTGATCGAGTTCCAGAGGACTTTAGCTTATTCGATATCTCCCAACTGCATAATCAAGGATTCCGGTATTGCTTGGTACAACAATCCGATTGCCCTGTTCGTTGTTTTTCCTGAGAGAAAGATGGTCTCGAAGCACACTCTGGTTCGCGCCAATCCCTTTACTCCAGTAATCCATACCCGGACGTCCGCGATGGCGTAAGCACGTCGCAAGTCTGCTCACCGGTTATTGCATTAAGCACCGGTAATTCACCAAAAGCAAGAGGCTCCTAAAAATTTTAGAGTCAGATTCACGTGCAGCCTTGATCTTATTATACGATATACCACAAAATTTTCTATTCGATGGACCAATTTTTTTCTTCATTCTCTTCTGTTCCAGGGTCAATTACACTCCATGCTTTATGAATTATGAGCACTACTTTCATCCTTAGTGCCCAGACGGTATAATTTGTAGAAGTAAGCATTGGACATACGATTGTGGTTGTCCCAACCTCCTTCACTCTCACCGGAGGAGGCCCTGCACCGTCTTCTCCGTCTGACATATTGACCTAGCTCGTCAATAGGTAAGTAACTCGGTCTCACAGCTTCTTAACTTAAGCTCTGATACCAATTAAAGTTTAGAAAACAAGAATGCAAAACAAAAATAACTCTTTGATTAATCGGAAACTAACTCAAAACCAATGTTTTTACAATCTGTTCTCATAATCAGAAACTCGATTATGAACATGTATATATATATAGCCTAACATACCAACTTGTATTAGACTAGGAAACTTATGACCAACTTGTCATAAACTCAACTTTCCATAAATTAGATTGCTTGGTCTCCAAGTCCTCATCGACTTAGGATTCCAACATGTAACGTTTAACAAAACGCTACCGGCAACAACTACCCGCTAGTTTTGGCAAACACGCCATAGAATGCATATTTATATGTATTAAGGATTAAACTATGATCTAATCTATCTTATCTATCTAATAAAAGAGTGCATCTTATGCCATGCATTATATCCCCCCCCCCCCCCGCCTCCCCCAGCTTATTTTTTTGCTCAATGTTTCAAAAAAAATTGAATGAGCATAAGCATAAGCATAATCGAAAATAGTGACCAAAAAGGAGGATAATGTGCTAATACAAACTAACAACCCTCCCTAGAATATTTAGTTGCAAAAGTTAAGATATAATAATATGGTGATATGTTTAAGTGAAGACATGTCATATATTCTTTAAATATTGGTTTGATCTAAGACAAACAAAACAATAATATGAAATTGCAAGTAAATTGGAAGACTAGGTTTACCTTTCTGAGACCACCAATTTCAACAATCCACGCACGATAATCCCCATGTTAGCATATTGTTTGTATATGTATTTGTATTATTGTTTAAAGTTCGGCCAAAGTGTGTTTGGCCCTTTACTGATTATTCTTGCATCTTGTATATATTGAAGGTATCTAACAAAATTTGCAAACTCAATCTTCACGTTGACAACTCCTCTCATGTTCTTAAAAATTACTTGCACGCTTTTAAAGATCCAAACTGGCTTAACGCAATGACCGAAGAATATACTGCTATATACCATGAAATCGTCTATATATATTTTCCCATGAATCGATATTTCATTAGATACCCTCAATATATACAAGATACATGAATAATCAGTAAAGGGCCAAACACATGGGCCAGACTATAAACAATAATACAAATACACATACAAATAATACGCTAACAATACAGAACAAAGAAACATCAAAACATTATGTTGGTTGTTTTGTCGATGAGTAATTAGCCTTTTCTGGATTGTAAACAGAAGTAAAAAAGAGGCACACGATCCCAAGACACATGCGTTGAGGGAGGTGATAAGCAATGGAAGGACTAGCAAGGTACAAAAGAAAGAAGAGACTGATAAAGGAGAAAGAAAATTCCATATGATGATGTGATGTAAATATAATAGAAAAACAAATTTCCAAAAGAAGAAAAACATAAGAAAAGCAGAGTTACAAAGCAATGTATCCAATTGTGGTTACTCACTCTGCATACACCATGTATCTGAGATATTAGTGGAGTAGAGGAGACCTTCAAATCTTTTAGATAAACATGAAAAAACAGAGGGACCACGCAACAAGAATCATGTTCTCCTACGTACCAAAATTTCCCAAATTTTATAATTGAAACTAGCAGGTAAGCCCGGGCTTCGCCCGGGACGGTTTATAATTCATGGTTACAACTTAACTATCTTCAAAGTTGTTCGAATCACATAACTTTGAATATAAGTATGGATTACCCAATGAATATGACACGTCCCACCAAAATTTTGATAATTACAATGATTACATATTCAATTCTTACATAAGAATGCACATACTTTACCACTTTTTGCTCAATAGAGTTGTATGAGGGATTCCATTCCCATACTACCAACAATCTTTGTCTGGATTCTAATGGATCTGTGATTGAGGAGTTTGTTTATTAGTCCAGTGAAGAATGGGATGTGTGCAAGAACAACTCCATCCTTGAATAAATGACACAAAGTCCTGGTCATTACAGTATCAATGGAAACTTGTCACAACTGAGAAGTAAGCCACTATCAATTAAAGAAACTGATCATATAAATTTTAGTAAGATTATCAAAAATGGTTGAGTCAACATTCTAGAAAGAAATGAAATTCATGTTGACCTTTAAACATACGTCCTTAAAAACAATCTAGTAGATGTCAATTATCAAATCTGTTAAAAAAAAAACACCATTCATTTGATTCATTGTTTTTTTGGTTTTTTTTTGTAGACTTCCATTATATAGTTGTATTTTTATATGCACATTACAAACACAAAAAATAGAACAAATTCAATCAAAAGGCTTAATGTAATTATTCTAATCACTCAAAACCATGTAAACAAAAGAGAACAATGGCAGAATTTCCCATAGTAAAAAAATCTGAAGATTTAGAAAACTAATTACCCATTTTTGATGTTACCATAATGATATAAATGAAAGTATGTTGCTATTACCTTCCACTTCTCCTTTTTAAGTACTTTGTAACCTTGTAGTTCTTTTTTATAATCCCTTTTGAACCTACAATTAAGAAACAATGGTGATGAGGAAGAAGATAGGTGGTAAAAGAAAACTTTTTGGAGTGAACAAATGGAGTTGGTACCTTTTTCTAGTTAAGTCACAATAATATGTGTATTTCTTGAAACCAAGTAAAAAACGGTCAAAAAGAGCAGAAGGTCAGGAGCACCAAGTAAAGAGCGGTCAAACTTGTGACCGCAGGATGGGCTTGTATTTTATGGCAAAGTTATTGGGTGCTCAAATGGGTTGTTTACTTTCTGCATCATCCTTCTTCCTCCCTACCATCGTCTTCCATACAGTTCTCGACAATCTCTTCCACCTTCTATATTACCTGCATCCAATAAAAAATTTGTTACCACACACCCACACACAAGAAGAGAAATAAGCACCACAACCATCTCACAATATGTATTGATCTGATAGGAAAAATATTAGTTTTAAATTCCCTTATGCTTAAAGTGTTTTAGCACCAAAATTCTACTTTCATTTTTTCTATAATAACGTCGTGCATATTTTGTATTAATTGTATTTAAGAATCAAAACCAATAATATCATCTTATTAGGACATTATACTTTGACAAATTAAGCTAATTATAGCAACAAAAGGGTCCTGAAACTCTTCCTTACTTGACAAATATAGTGGTCATTCTGCCATGCTATCAGTCCAATGAAGACCGGTTGTGGAAAACTTGAAATTTTTTTTGTTTTGACATGGTGTCTTACTGTCTTTGTCATTCAGACCACCACCAGAATGTATCTGGGTTTGTGAATGATCTCATACGGATTCTGCTTACTGCAACATCATCTTTACTAGAAACTTCCAAAGGAGTTGGGTAAAGATCCCTAGCAGCAAATAATTCACAGGAGACATGATCATGAAAGTCTATTTTTGGCATCTGTTTTTTCAAAAATATCAATAGTAAATAATTTGATAATTTAATTTCTTTAATATGTAGAACATCTCATAAACCTTACTATTTGAGCGATTGTCCTTGTCACCGATTTTTCCAGTCATCATGTACATCATTTTATCAAAATCAAAATCAAAGGCACCAATGCGATGTTTTTTTGCACTCACTATTATCTGGTTTGTTGAGAAACAAATATTACCAAGCTTTATTTTGTTCTGTAACCATGTGAAGTTTCAAAATACAAAATCTGCTCCAAGTAATCATGAAGCATGTACAAAAGGCCCATAAGATGCTGAAATGGTTCGTTCAACAAAAAAAACGCAATAAACAAAGGTATAACGTGTTAAAGCTCAATGGTTCATCTTCATTGAAGGTTGTTGGGATGCTACATTCCAAATTTTTGGAACTGCAAATCAAACATATTACATTGAGTTATTGAGTAGAAAACCGATAAATCAAACAAAGTAAAAAAAAATCCAACCTTTCTCTTGTTTGATCGGTACAGTCTTAGAAGACTTCAAGATTGTTTGAGCCCTAGTAGATGAAAACGAAAGCCACACGAAAATCAATTCATATTCTCTCTTAAATTCAGTTTTGATCATATATAAAATACATATTACCCTGTATGCTTCGTGATAGACCAACTTAAACCAAAATTGGGGATATATCGAAGCATCAATGGCATATGTGTTTCACGACTATGACAGAACAGACAAAAAATAAGGAAAAAAAAGAGCCGATAAAATTCACCTGAGACATCGACTATAATTGAAGGTTTCTTGATGAAAGCCCTAATTTTCATAAAGAGAAAGAGGCGACTAATCTGTAATGCAAGCCTTTGGTCCGGTAGCATCCTCAATCTGTTGTTGGCGAAAGCAGATGCAAAGGAAGATGAAGCAGTTTAGGGTTCTCCAAAGAGACGAAGAGAAAATAGGGAAAACGACAGTAAAACCGGGGCCGGGAGAACGGGGAATTTGAAGCTGTTGAGGTTTGAAATCCTGTCGGCTTGTGGGTTTACGAAGTCGGCGTGGGTGGGGTTATCGATGGTCTCCCTTAGCTTCAAGCTGCAAACGGTTTCTTCAAAACTGTTGCCCAGTCCACCTTGACGTAGGTGAGAGAGATGACGGGGATGTGGGAGCATACCCGGGGAGATTGAGTTACCGGAGGGAGAAATGTACGATATCGGTGGGGATGAGGGGGAATCAGAGGATTGAGGTAAAGGGCCTGATTGGGCGTGGTCAGGTAAGCAGATAAGCAAAAGGAGAAGGCAACTGACGTAGAAAAGCGGTGGAGGAGGAATAAGCGAAAGAAGAAGCGGTGACAACAATCTAATCCCTATTGGTTTACACAATCTGTGCCATTGGAATCTGTAGGCGGTGTCATTGGAATCTGAGTAAAAATATACAAAATGCTAAAAGAGGACCCCTTAAAAGAAACAACCCAGAATAGTAAACAGACACATAGACGGAGGACTACTTTTGCCAAAAAAACGAATGTTCACTATTCCTAATTTGAGACATTTTTAATATATACTAGAAATGAGCCCGTGCGTTGCACGAGTCGGTTTTTTTTGTTGATGTTTGGTAGGTCACGAAAGTAGGATGCTATAATGTCATTCAAATACTAAGCAACTGGATAGATTGAATAGAGTATAATGTCCTAATGTAAGAAATGAAAGTAAACAAATAAATCAGTGTATGTTGTTATTTTTTGCATTTAACGCTTTTGGCTTATAGTAAAAACATTTCGAGTCGAAATCTCATTCCTCATAACTTGAATAAAGCCACCTGAAGAAAAGAAAACATAATTTCTATTATTATCGTATCGACATTTTTTTTTGATGCAATTGTGCATGCTGAAAAGGTTACAATATCTACCCTTATCCATCAAGAATATGTTATTTATAAAAAAAACAAAACAAAACTTTTGGGACCATTTTCACCAATTGCCACTTTTTTAAATTAAAACTAAATGAAACGTGTTTGTTGACCATAATTAGAATCTACCTCAAGGTATTGAATATTAGAAATTTTGATGGTTTTCTCAACTTGAAGCCCACGTGGCAGAAATAACTGCAGCAAAACAATAATTTTTTAGGGAAAATTAAGTACATTGTAGCAAAATTTCGACTACATTGTTGTTTTTGTAGAGACATGTAAGTACGTTAGTGTTTCAGATATTCTTCTTAGTGTTTCAGATATTCTTCTGTAACTTGATAGACTTTCAATGCACAATTCCCTAATAGGAAGAAATGAATGTACAAATCAATTAAAAACAAAGCAATAAAAGTACATTGTTATTTAAAAGCTGCTAAATATCCATACCTCGAGTGCACGGAGCATCACTTCAACCGGTGGAGATAATGTCGGAACAAAAACCGATGGATGTTTGTGATGGATGAAGCTCTTTCCTTCTTTACCCGAAGTAAATGTTTTGGTGCTTGTTTTTCCAGCTTCAGTGACTTTCTCAAGCTGTAAGAATTAACATTCCAAATGGGATCTTAATATTTCCGTCTATTCCAAAGATAAGACCATTTTACCCTTGTCTACGTTGAGAAATAAAACATAGTTACTAAAGATTGAAAGCTAATTCGTAAACATAAACCTACCAATCCTCATATCCTAAATCTTAAATCAAACAACAGGAATCAACAATTATGTTGCATGATGAGTAATGGCAAGATATAAAATCTCATCAACGTCATATTCATATAAACTGGAAATTTAGTCTTATGTCAAACAATTCCTTTCAGAAACTTAATTACCAGAGTGTTATCTTACTCCATGTTGATTGATAGTTCGATATTTATTCAGGTAAGAAACATTAGACATCCCAAACCATGGACCCGTAGTAACACACATAGATACATAGCATATCTTCAGGTTTGCAAATCAATGAAAACAATAAGCACAACAGGACATGATGATCTACCGTTTTAAAGAAGAAAATAACACCTTTTCTTGTATAAAGATGTATGAAAAGCCTTTGGCCATCATCCGGGAAATTTGACATCCAACCATATTTACAAACCTGCCATCATTTTTAGCTCGGGGATTAAAGATTCACAAGTTTAACCTGTCAAATAAAAAAAATTGTTAGAAGCACATCCAAAAAGCAAAAAATAAATAAACGTTAGAGTCAAAGGAACTCACCATTTTCCTTTTAACCTCTTCAATCTCCTTTAGATATGGTAAATTTAGCTTATCCTTATAATATATTTCCTTGTACCCAGGTTCACCCAATTTTATCTGTGAAAAAAAAAAGTAAGGAAAAGTTAAAATGGTTTAATATGTAACAAAAAAAAACATTATTCATTCTGGTTTCAAGAGGAGTTATATTTTATTGTACCTTGTCAACTACTGGAACCACATACTCTTCAATGACCTTAACACTCACTTTTTGCACATTAGGGATCTCTGTAAAACATAACTTCTTATAAGATGGAAAGTTGTAACATAATCACTTAAGGAAAACTTTGACATAGCAGCAAAAATATCAGTTTACATATACCTGAGATATGGACAGATGAAATTGAAAAAATAGGTATCCCTGTAAAGTAAAAAACATAACCACCAAATTGAACAAAATCAAAAAACCCACCAATCAATTTAAAACCCTAGAAATTGCAAATTTAGGGCGAGAATTAGAACAAAAACCTAATTAAAAGTGAGAAGTTATTTCTCTTTGGCTGGGTCGAACTGATGTCCGTGATATGGGAAGTTGCGCACAATAGAAGACAGAGAATGAAGTGTATGAATTAGGATAGAGAAATTCGGTTTCAAATTCCCAGAAACGGAGAATTTCAGTGGCGATGAATCATCGGAAGTGGGTTAAAGATACGGAAATCAAACCTTGAATCGAGGGTGTAAAAGAAGAAGGTCTCTATTTGTTGCTTTCACTTTGCCTCCATCGACTTTGCCTCCATCGTTGTCTCTATTTCGTGCTTTGAAGTCCCGTGAATCTTCTCCATGCAGAAATCGAAGCCTACAATCGATTAGCCCCATCTCTTTTATTTGTATCTATACCGCCGCTGCATTCGATTTTACTGAGAAAACCCACCGCTTAATACCAGATTAGTGACGGTGGGGTGAAGCAGATGTTGAGGTATAGATACCTTTGCTTGCTCCTTGCATTCTTGATAGTTCAAAGCGACGAAGCACAAAACTACTAAATTTGAGGCTTAAACCTGAAAATACAGTAACAAAATAAAGAAACAAATTAGAGATTGGGGTCGATAGGTCTGCAACGAAATAGGAACTACAGTCTGCTGATGTTACGCCTGAAGCCGATGGAGAAAACGGAAGAAGCGAGAAGCTGTGGAAGTGAGCGATTAGAAAGAATGAAGAGGAGGAGGCGGTAGATCGGTGACCGGGTGGAGGTAAACTTACCTATGATGGAGTTAGCTTAAAGTAACGTCGGTGGAGCAAAACCATTGGACAACTGAAGCGGTGGGATTGAGAATTACAACACGTGTCGACAAAGAATGGAGAAAATGACATAAACTGGCCAGAAGAAAAATGCCTACGAACAAATCCAGGACATAACAAACCCCCATAAACCAATGACGAATTCTGCCAAAAAAAATACCTAATTCACTGTTGCTAACTTGAGACATTTTTAATATATGTATATTAATATATTAATGAATTTTTTATAATCTCCCAAAACTTTTAAATTCATCACCTGAATTTTAATTGCCCTCTTTCAGTATTTTGAATTCAAATCGTTTAAGTATATGGCAAAATTTCCCAAACTTTATAACTATAACAAACATTTTTAGAAAAAAAAAAGTTATTGATTAGGTTGGTTTAATCATATTACATAATTTGGTTTTGATCCAACAAAATCCGGTGATTGGTTCCATTTTGATTCATAGGTAACATAACATCACAAACAACAATTATGTATAATGCTTTTATTTTATTTTATTTCTTTTAGAAACGGCGAGTTAGTATATGCATGTGATTGATCACAATACCATTTTGTTTATTGTTAGAAACACTTTGTTAGACACCTTGTTAGTGAAATGGGCTAGCCCTAACTTGTATTATGTATAATTCTTTAAAATATAAAAGATATACTTATATGAAAAATAGGTTAGAAATTTTCAATAATTTACATAATAACCAAGTTAAGACTTATAATTGACCCAACAAAACCGAAACCGGTTTTTCTATAACTGGTTCAATTAAAACCAAACCGCCGGTTTGATATAGGTATTTATAAATAAACGAAACTAATTTTTTCCCTTTTTTCTAAAAAGTACCGAATCGAACCGTTTTTTAACTGAAAAAACCGGTAAAGTTTCACTTACAAAAAAATTGAAGAAACCGAATCGATTATAACCAAAACCGATCTAAAAAATCAGTTTTTAAAAAACTGAAGCCATTTTAAAACCTACACATATGCACATCCGATTACATTAGTTAGTTATTGTTGGGTCTTGTTGATTTAGGATCTCATAAGGGAGTTAATTTTAGGCCTAATGTCTTAAATTATAGGCCTTATGCTTCTTCGATGGAACAAAGTTGTCACAAGCATACACAACTTGGCTTCTAGACCAGCATACAATTAGTCTAACAATTTCATATTAGGTGTGTGGAACAATATAGCAAGAGTTAAGAGCGAGTTGGTCAAACGAGATATTCCGATGAGTGAAGAACAATCAACTATAGAGAAGAAACTCTATTTTGGATCGACGACTGGCTGGGCAATGGTCCACTCAAACTTAGGTTTCCTGAGCTTTATACCCTGGAATCGCAAAAGAAATGTAAGATCTCTGATCAAATCTACGACGGAGGATTCTCTTGGTCTTGGTCTCGTCAGCCGCTTTCACAACAAGTTAACCAACTTATACAAGCTATTGGGTTTACTTGGCTAAACTCAAGTAAAGAGTACTCATGGACGTGTGATTTGGCTTCAAACGATTGCTTCGTTGTGGATGCGTGTAGGCGTCGGTTGAAAACGAATTTGAGTGGGTTGGGCAATTACTCCTTTGTTTGGTTAAAAGAGACACCTATAAAGGTATCATGCTTCGTTTGGCATGCTATTCAAAATCGCATCCCATCTGCCCTGGTTCTCAATCGTGGCATCAATATAGATTTGGTGACTTGTGGGGAATGTAACACGGATGAGGAATATGCGGATCACATAATATGTGGATGTTCATTTGCTAGATTTACATGGGAGTGGATCTTCATATGGTGTTTCATATCATTGCCTTATTTTGATAAAACTGGTGGAATTCGCAACAGTGTTGTTGGGTATTTGTTATGGAACGATTTGGAGTTTGTGGCAAGCAGAAACGGAATAATCTTCAATCAAAACAGGATTACTCCTAAAAAGGTTGTGGATATTATCAAATCATCGGTGTTCATTTGGTTCAAACGTCGGAGCAATGGAGGCATTTATAATTGGATAGATTGGTGTAAAAGTCCATTCATGTAATAGGCTTGACGTTTTCTGTTAGGGTCGGTCCTGAGGAATTAAATATCCTCGAAGGCCCAGAACGAACAAGAAAAAAAGGGCATTTGTTGTTATTATAAGTTGTTATTTTTAAATAAAAATATATAATAAAAAAATTAGGCCCTGTGCGGCTGCCCACTTTGCCCCCCCCCCCCCCTCAACGCCCCCATGTTTTCTCTCTCTCTCTCTCTCTCTCTCATGGTTGTGATGCGAGATTTGTTTAGTTAGTTCCTTTTTCCTCTCTGCCTAGTTGCTTGCTAGGTGGAGCTCCTTATGGAATGCGGTGCCCCATTCTAGTTAAGTGCCATTTTCTTGAAGCCATAGGACGCTCTTGAATATTGTGGTAATGTGTTGCCCAAATCTAGTTAGTTGTTTTATTTTCTGATTTTCTTAGTGCAAGTTTGATTAGGGGGGCCTTTGTTTTGAACCGAAATAGATGTAACCTATTGTTCATTTTTTATTTTCTTTTGCATTTATTTGTATAATTTAGGGTAAAATATATAAAAATCACTATATTTAGGACATTTTGGTGGTTTAACCATCACTTCAATTTGGTTCATGAAGGCCATCAGTGTTTAATACTCCGTCTGTTCCAAAATTATTGTTCACGGACAAAAAAACACATAGATTAAGGAAACATTAATTACAACTAACTTTATTAAATGAAATGACAATTGTACCCTCTTATTTCATTTAATTCTATCATTTTGTTGCATTTAATGTCATGGTAGATAGGGTATTTTGGTAAAAAATATATTTATATCTAGAATTAGGCTATTATTTTGGGACAAACCAAAAAAAAACATGAACTATTAATTTGGGACGGAAGGAGTAATTTTTTATATCTTGACCATTAATTTATAGCAAGTTAAAATGGCCACAATATAAAAAAAGTTGTCAAAGTTGAATGACTTTCACGAAAAATCTTAAACCAATCTTTAACACTAAATATTACTAAGCAACTAAACTTTGACAACCATTTCTATTGACCACTTTAACCTCCTTTAGATGGTGAAAGCGGTCGATATAGAAAAAATAATATCAAAACTTGGATGGCTTTAATAAACCAAATTGAATTAGAGTGGTTAAACCACAAAATATCGTGTTTTTTTTTGGTATATTATTGCCACATAATTCAAGCAAATTTGTTTGTTTCTCTCTTCTAACCAAGATTTCAAAAAATATTAGTTGGAAGGTAATATGTATACTTTTATGCAAATCAATCTCTCGCAATTATATACAAATTCCATGAGTGACGGAGTGGTTGATATTGATGACAATAAATACATTTAAGGGATAAGACTTGAAATGGTAATCAACTTTGATTCTTGTACACATTTAGTCACCGATTCTTTTTTTTTTTTTTTTGTGTTTGATTTATCTGTGAACTTTTTGAGATCATTCACAAAGTACCAATATGATGGGTAATAATAAGTTTTGTCGGTTTCAGGTGTGGTTTCCGTCCAAACATGAGTTTTTCGGCCTAGTATGATTTTTCCGGTCATCTTCTCCGGCTAAACTCGATTTTACGGCGAGACCCTTTTCTGACAGTTGTCTTCTCTTTCCTTCTTCTCTTTTCCGACGATATGATGAACAAAAGAATCCCCAGACCTTTTTTGGAAATTTTAAACTATTAGGAAGTAAAGCGGATAATAAGCAAAACTAAAAGCATACAAGACACAATATTACGTGGTTCGGTCAAGGTTACCTACATTCATGGGCAGGAGGGGAGTATTATTTATTTTAGAGCTCTTAAACAAAGCTTACAAGTACAATTTCACAGAGATTTGCGTAACACTCTAGAATTCAATATACAAAATGACTTAGCATGCATCCCTATTCATACTTGAGGGATCAGACCTAAAACCCTAATGGGCGAAGCCCATTGGCTCATAGGCCAATGAAAGGTGTCAACCAATCACAATCTGCCATGAAACATCTTTTGGAACATCCATCCTTGCATGAGCATCAACAACATACATAATGGAGCATTATGATCCATAGTGGCATATCATGATGCAAGAGTGGCATATCAGGATCACCATGGCATATCAACCATCATGGTGACACATCAAACAATAATCCTTGAGCATCTTCAACTTCTGAGCTTCCTTGAATAATCTTGAACATCATAGGGGACTTCATAACATATGCATCATCAAGGGATATCTTGGAATATCAGGGAACCAAGTGACGCATCCTTGCATCAAGATGACACATCTTGATCAAGGGATGACACATCCTCTCCAAGGTTGGCATATCTAGAAATCCACTCCACAATGGCGCATCCACTTCATGAATGGCATATCCAGTCACTTGGTGGCATATCATGTCACTTGATGGCATATCATGTCACGTGGTGGCATATCCAGTCACTTGATGGCATATCGTGTCACTTGGTGGCATATCAAGTTACTTCTTGTCATATCAAGTCACTTCGTGGCATATCATGTCACTTTATGGCATATTAAGTTCCAATAGTGGTGCAACTTGACTTCTAAGTGGAGCATCCAAGAATAGAATGCTCCATTCCACTTCCAGGTGCTCCATACCTCCTTCTAGAAGACGCGTTCCTTTGTCACTTGATCCGTTCCTTTTTCAGGAGATCCATCCCTTTCTTAGATGATCAGTTCCTTTGTTACATGCTCTATAAACCCCAAGTGCTCCGTTGAGTTTCAAGTGCTCTATTGAACTCAAATGCTCCATATGAATGCTACAAATGCTCGAGTCACATTTAACATTCTCCACTTTGACTTGAGCATCCTATGAACTCCACCTCAAACAAGAACTTCCTCTTCCTTCCTGCCATCAAGCCCCGAAGGGGCTTACCTCCTACGAACAACAACCAAGTCCAAGCAAAGCTTGAACTTATCTGTGGGCAACGACCTAGTCACCATGTCCTCCAGATTCACCTTGGTATCAGACTTTTGAATGCATAACCTGTCATAGAACATGATAGGTTTCTCCACCTTCAAAAGGAGACTCTGAATGAGACCAACCACCAATGATCTTCTTGTCTCTAGATCACTTTCATGGTCCAACTCTACCAATCCAAACAAGTCCATATGTCGTGCATTTGCACCATACAATAAAAAAACATCAAGCGTTCCCTTCAAGTGTTGCAAGATCCACATGACCATTTCCTAATGA